GCGTCCCATGCGCTTCTGTCACCGCTTTCCTGGTGTCAGGGTGCATGTGGAGTGGGCACAATAGAACCCACATCAACATATGTTTATATAAGCTGCGAGTAGATGACCAAACACAAAAAACTACAGGAGTACTGTAGGTGCATGGACTGAGTCGTACCTGCTACCGTATGTTTAAGATTGCTCCTGATTAGCTAGGTGCAGAATAGCCGTGCCAGCTGCTTCAAAGCAAGCGCCTTCGTCACTGCCTGTGGGGACATGGCTTCAAAATCATATGTTCCCGGGCACTTTTTGCTGCGCCGCAAGTACATACACCATCCAAACCCAGTGCACTTCAACCTCAAAATCCACCAGGCTCTACTATTGTCTCGAAGATCGAGGTAATCTCACAAGTTCAAGAAAAACATTAGAACATGTTTCAACCCCGTTCCTCTTTTGTTCTGGTAAAATCAAACCTATACCCGTACAATGGGATATCGCACTATGGTGGGAGTCTTCATAATTGCGTTGCAAATGTCCATCGTGGTGTAGGTCCAATTCCCCACGTTGTATTTGAGCACACGCGTGTGCAGAGCGAGCAGGATCCAGGGCAAGAACTTCTATCAAAATTGAAAAGTTTGACAATCTTGCAAGGCTGACTCGAAACTCCACGAAGCGCTTAAACACGTTTTGTTAACAAGATCGGACAATGCAGCTTTGTCATTGCATGCTTTCACAATTGCATCCATCTCCGCTGGTGTCAGCCCGCGCCCCCTGCAGAAAGGGTACAAAGCCAAGCCATCCGCGGCCGGAGTCTGTGTCAGCCAAAGCTTTCATACCGGTATATAGACAGCAAACGTAAAAAAAACAGTACACCCTCAGCGCGAGCATTTTTTTTGCACATGTTCTAGCTATTCATATTGCACTACTAGCTTGAACTACTCTCTCATCATGGTCACTATGTTAGCTTTACATTGACTTGCGTTTCTTACAGTTCTTTGTCTTTAGCTGCTTTGCTGGCTTCGAGTTCTGGTCTGTAAGTTCCGCAACACCCACGCACCTGATAGTGAAGTATCTGGCTCTGAGTGTGCTAAGCGACTACTGCTAAAACGTTGAAGTTACATTAAAGCAACGTTTTCCCCACCTGTCAGGTGAAGGTTGTTAGTCCTGTAAGTGCGATGCGGCAACTCCTCCGCTCCTCCTCCTCCTCCTCCTCCTGCTTCTTATTCTTCTTCTTCTTTCTTCTTCCTTGTCTGCTCCACTCAACACTCAACCACAAGCTCCAGATGGCAGTGTGCACTCCAGGACTGACCTCAACAGCCAGAGTAGGCACTACCGGACCTCAACAGCCAGCGCCAGATCGCAGTGGGCACTACCGGACTTCAACAGCAAGCGCCAGATCGCAGTGCGTAAACAACTTTCATACACCATTCGCGATCGCAGTGCAAATGACCTTAACTTTCAACAGCAAGAGCAGATCGCAGTGCAAAAATGCAGCGCTAGATCACAGTGCATAATTTAACTGGTATGTCGGTATGTAACATATTCCAACACAACTTGAACTTGATTTATAAATGCACCCTTTGCTACAAACTCTTAATCACTCACAGTATCACATTCACTAGCTCTAGCTATGTTTCTCTTGTTAAGGTTTTGGCACGTTTGCCTCTATTTTCCATCAATTCTGTGTCATCATATGTATCAACAAGTGCGTTGATCAAACATTCATTCTTGCTACCTCTAACATTGCCTGGAACCCCTGGAACCCTCACCAATGTTGATCACATGACATGAGGGAGAAACAAGGAAAAAGTGCACGCTCACAGCGTCCCACTCTCAAGAAAATCGGAGAGCCCTACCTTCGATTGTTCACCTCTTTTTTCCTCTTTCATTTTGCTTGTGTAGCAGTGCAATAGAAACCGGGAATGGCCTGGTTTTGAAGGTCAAGCACAGCTCAGCAGCATCGCGGATGTTCTTTTCTTGGTCATCCACAAAAAGAACCTGGACGTGTCTGACATGTTGTCCTCTCCATTCCTTCTTCACAAACAACCGCCCCAAGAAATTTGCTGGGAATCTCACGCGCTCTTGCTCCCATCTGTATCAAATCACAGCAAGTGTCCTTTGTCCTGGGCCCTATATCCTACATAATTGAAGCAGGTTTCGATCACGTTAGAGTTGGGTTCGAGTATCTCACATTTGTTCAAGGTTGGGTTCTGGCGCAAGGATTGTAGCGGTTGCCAAGAAGGTTATGTAGGGTTCGAGTTCAAAATACAGCTTTGGAAAGTGCAGGGTTGGTTTTCGACTAGTGACTGGTTGGGATTCAAGATTCTCATCAAGAAGATTGTTTATAGTGGCTTCTTGTTACTAGTAGTAAGGCCAGGAGCCCCTAGTAGCGTCCTTGCTCCTAGTAGCAATGCCCTTTGCTCCTAGTAGCGAACATTGCTCCTATATACCACTTCCCATCAAGAAGATTGTTGAAGTGTTTAGGTCACACAACTTAGCACCTGATGAACAACCAATCTCGACAGCGATCAAGTTTCAAGTTATTCAATACTCTTGTCCTCAAAAACTATGTGAATGCTTGCTGTGTTGGGTTGGTTCGAGTTATGTGTTATTAGAAATTAGTGTTAATGTTCCCTAAAAATCTAGAAACAAAATCATTAGCGTGAGCTATCCTGCGTCCTGTCAGTAGTAGCGTCCACTTGTAGGTAGTAGCGACTCCCTAACTACTACTAAGCTACCTAGCGACCTAGCGGCCTACCCGACCCCCGGTCAAATATATATATATATATGACAGTATATATAGTATTGCGAAAATGGTAGCAGCGGCACCCGAAGTCCGCGAGCAAGAAA